TCGATATTGCTCAAAAAATTATATAGAGATTTATCAGTGCGTGTGTCGAGTATAGGATTACAATGATTATTTGTAGATTAACAAACTAAATAAACATGGTTAAATATGATAAAATAACAATAAGCTTAATTTTAGATCACATTAAATTATTAAAAATCGTGTCAATAAATTATAATTTCTCTAAATTTAAATATTCAAAAAATTTCCTCTAGATAAGTTTCCTTTATACAGTCCATAAATCTTCAAATTCTAATTTAATTTTTTTAGTTAATATGACATAGAACAATACAAAATAATTATGATATAGTTGATATCTAAATGATCAATATATTTTTAGTTTAACGTTTAAAATAAAATTAAACCATTAAATTATGTCCTTTTAAGTCTTTAAATTATTTTAGATCAAAATAAAAATTTAAAATTATTATATGTAATTATTTTAAATAATTAAAATTTTTCTTTATTAAAATAAGTCTTTTAGCTTTGATTTTTTTATTTTTTTATTTTAAAATATTTTTGATTAAAATAAATATCTAATTTTATATGACATATTAATATTTTATTAATAAAAATATAATTTTTTTATAACAATGGCAACTGAATTTCATTAATAGAAATGAATCAATCAAAATTACAACGCATCCAAAGAAAAAACTGGAGACAATAGTTACCAAAATCTCATACATAAAATAAAAATATTAAAGCGAATGATACAAAGAGATTGAAACCTTCAAAACATCAAAACAATCAAGTAACCTTCATAAAACTCATTGTCTTTATCGAACAAGACGTTTTACGATATGATAAAAAAGTGGTGAGCAAATCAAATAATTTGGTAAACTATTTCGCTACACAATTCTGATTATATTGTCAAACGATCATTTACAAAAGAGATGATTTGACAATACGTGACTACCGACAAGCCAATAAGAAAACAAACTTATCAAAAACCATAAGAAACGTACAGTAAGAACAGAGAAAAAACGTGACACGATAATAGAGAAAAACATGTCATAAGGACAAAGATTCTTATTTAAAAGTAAAAAACTCAAAAAGAAAATAAATACATAATATGAAAAAAGAAAAAGAAAAATAATAATCACCGAAGATCAACAATCAATATTAACATTAGTTCTGCGGTCACCTAAATAAAAAAAAAATAGAAGAAGGAAAATTAAGTTAAAGAAGAAGAAGTCATAAGAATATATAATAAAAATATAACTAAAATAGTTACATATAAGAATTTAATTATTTTGATAAAAAAATAGTTTAAAGATTTCATATATATAATTATAAGGATTTATTTGGAGTTTAAGCCTTAATTAAAAGAGGGAAAAGGAAAAGGAAAACATGGAACCAGCCACGTACAAGGGAGGAGGACCCTTGTGCTCCCTGCCTCGTTTCAATGATAACATTGGAATAATTGTGATGTTACCTCATGATTTCTTTTCTACTCTTTTCTTCTTTATCTATTACTTTTTCTTGAACCGAGTTTGATAATATATTTAGTAAAAAAAATATTTTAGGTAATATTTTATTTGATATATTATCAAGTTCGATAAAACGTCAAATGATAATAAAATCAGTAAAAATAATAATATTTTAAGTAATTTTTTTATCAATTTTATTAAAAATAATAATAATAAATCGATAAAAAAAATTTTAATCGTATATTAAAACTGCTATAAAGTAGAACTTTTGAGATTAACAATCTCATCCTCTTTTTTTTTCTTTTCTTTCTTTTTTACTTATACAATTTTTTCCATTCAGCATCATACTTTTCTAATTCCTTTTTTATTTTCTTTAAATCACCACTGCTTTTTTTTCTTCCTTTTTTTTTTCTCTTTAATTGGTAAGCAACAACATCCGTTTTCGTATTAATTGTCGATGTTGATATTTTTTTTTATTTTTTATATTATATATATATATTATAAATTTTACTTTTATGATATAATTTTTTTGTATATTTTTTTATTTTTGACACATATTGAGTTATTTATCGTTTGTTCGTTCATGTGATTTATTTTTCTTAAGGTTATATTTAGCATCGTCGTGACCGATCAATATGTCACTTATTTATTGTCTCGTTGATCTCCATCCTTTGAACCATCGAATTAGATTTGGATATACAACTTATGTTCATACATATATATGCAACTTACGTTCATATATAACTTTCTCACTTTGTTTAACTCTAATTTAAAATTTAGTCTTTCAATAATTAAATCTTATGCAGTGGTTTGATTCACATAGCATTCAAATTTGTTTGTAATCACCTATTGTTCGAGTTTTTTGTGTGAGTTTGACCCATTTTTCTTTGTATAATTTTTATATAATCTTAAATGATTAATTTATTACGTTAAAGTTATAAAAAATTATACTAATTATATATTTAATTTATAAATATAATTATAAACCATTAGAATTTTAGACAATTTTCTTAATAAAACAGGTCTCTTTATTTCTATATATATATATATATATATATATATATATATATATATATATATAAGGCTTGATTATAAAACAAGTGTTCAAATTATAATTTTTTTTCTTGAATAGGAATTCAACCTTTTTTTTGGAATGATCCGTGTATCTAACATTACAAATTTTTTTTCATTTTACATGTCGGACCGTGAACGTTGTTAATTTTTTATGTTAAGCGATACATGTCACATCCAGGTAATTTCAAAATTTTATTTAAAATTAAAACAATAAAATTATATACTAAAAACACATAAAATTGAAATATTCCAAAACTTTGAAAACTCTTGTTTCAACCCTTAAACCCATACCATCTACCACCCTTTGTCGTTAACAAAGCTCTACATGAACTCACCTCTTTCTGACGATCAATAACCATATGAAATTGCAGCCAATTGATGTTTTCTTACCCTACAAACCCTAGATTGAAAATGCACGATTTCGACGATCAATCGACAACAACTATAATGACATATTACTAGAAAAATGACAGGACTACGTCGATGGTAGTGATCGTGGTCGACAAGGATGATAATAACATGTTAGGGATTTGAGTTTTTTTTTTAAATTTAAGAGAAATTAAAATTTTTATAAATATAATAAATTCTTTTATTTTTTTAAATTTAAAATTATCAAAATGTTACACTTGTTACTGTTAAAGTAGTAACGTTTGTAATATTAAATATATGAATCATTCAAAAAAAATTGAAAACTCATTCGTAAAAAATATTATAGTTTAAACAATTGTTTTATAATTAAGTATATAAATAATAATATACAAATATTATTTTTTTTATTCAAAGCACTCATTCTTCATTATTTTCGAGAAGTAGTGAGTGACCTAATCTACAACAGTGAGGTTACGGTCGTAGGTCACCCCAAAATAATTAAATAAAAAGTGAATTGTTGGGGTGGTGGACCCCAAAAAACGACCAAAATGCCTTTCTTTTCCGCATTAAAGGATTTGGTTAATCCTGCCTTAAAAATATTATTATTTATTGTTTTAGTAAAAAAATATGTTTAATATCATTAAGTTTATATTAATTTAAGGGTAAAATACATAAATAATCATTTAATTATAGATATTTTTTTGTTGAGTCTTGATTATAAAAGAAATTACAAAACAATTATCTGAATTAATAAAAATAATAAATTAGTCCATTTTCTTAAATAATTAATCATCATTTTTTATATTTTAATTTAATTATAATTTTAAAATTATTTTTTAATATTTTCTTTTTAAATTTTTTAAATAAAATCATAATCATACCTAAAAGTAAGAGGATAAAGACCACATAAGAGGAAGAGTAATTAGTAATTTCATAATTAAGATTTCGATATCAAATATTTGAGCGACAGATTAAATATATTTATTCAAATTCTTTATTAATTATATCTTATCTAGAGTAATTTTTACTTCTATTCTGAAAACAAACTAGACAACGAAAACTAATAAATTTGCGTTCACAATTTGTATTCCAAGAATCTAATTAAGAAGCTGTGTTTTTTCTTTTGAAAAATTTCAAACGCTCATATTCTTAATGTCTATGGTGTTTACGGAAGTCACTTGGTTTGTGTAAATAATATATTATTAATTTTTTTATATAAAAACTAGTAAGACTTAAATTTATTATTATGTAATTTTTAAGTATCATAATATATATTATTTTTTTAAATAATTGTTTTTACCCTTTTATTAAATAAAATAATTAATTTATAAATCTTAATAACTAAGATTCAATAAAATATAATACAGGCTAATTTTATATTTTACCTTAATTTTAATTAATTAATTGTTCACATTTCCCGTATAAATTTGCTTTCGCGAAGGTAGAGGCAGCTCCAGTGAACATACTCTCACCCTGTCTAATAATAATAATTAATAAATAAAACCATTTATTAAAATCAAATTGAAACTATTGAATTGGAAGAGAAAATTTTCCCGATGCGACAAATATGCTTTTGGGTTTTTACTTTCACCTCATTTCAATGCATTCATATTATAATAACAATTAACACAGTAAATTTTCTGGATTAAATTACATGAGTATTTTTTATGGTGAATTATGCATTTTATTTATTTATTTAAATAATAATAAATTATTTTTTTTGAAAAGGTACAAAATAATTAAAATATTTAATTTATAATATACAAATTAAAAAAAATTATACATATAAATTAATGTAATTGATATTTTTTATTATCCGGGTAAATTGAACATTCTTTGTAGCCCATTTTACCCAGGTGTGCAGAACTTTAACAGAATAAAATTACAGTAGCCTAAATTATTTATTAATATTTTCTAAAGAAATGGAAATTGATCCGAAAACCAACAAAGTTAAGGACAACCCGAGCACGTGATCTGTGATTCACTCCAATTACCGGTTTTTAAACAATCAATCCCTCCAAAAAGAATCCAAAATCCATATTTTTATATAAAAAATTCGTGATTTTTCACTGTGTCTTTTTGACAAGGTGTTTGCATCTGAAAGTGTGTAGACTTGGCCTTTTGTTTTGGCCTTTGCTCCTTTGGTTCTTTCTTTGTTTCTTTGATCTTTTATGCTTTGTGTTTTTTAAAGTGAATTTCAAAAAGGTGAAAGTAAAAAGATTGCTTTAAGAGAATGGTTATTTTATTTTAGGAATCAATAAGTGAAGGAGCAAAGGGAAAGATAGAAACCAAAGAGTAAAAGACCGCATCGATTTGTGGGGATTAATCAAGAACATATAGAAAAATCAAATTCCAGCATTCTCAGATCTTTAGAATTTCAGGGAAAAAAAGGCAACTTGTTGTTTGTTTATCGAGAAAAATCTCTTTTTTTTTCTCTTCTAGCTTTTTTTTCTTTAGCTCTATCTCTCACTTTGGGGTTCACTCATTCGTGTTGAACAAGTCATTTTAGGATGTGGGTGTTGATAAAAACAAGTTTTGATTTTGTATTTTGAGGTGAAAAGGCTAAAAACAGAGGGGGTTTTCCTTTAAAAGTAATTGTGGTTTCAGTTTTGTGGTTCTGATAGGGACACCTTTTGCTCGAACAAGTGTAGAACAAAGACCTTAGCTTCATGTGAAGGATGGCAGGTCATTGTTGTGCTGATCTGTGGGCGTTGATATTTTTAAAGAAAAAATAGTTTGAATAATTGAGAGACTGCAAGAGTTTTAACAGTATGGAAATAAAGAATTTGATGGTGTTTACACTGGGGTTATTGATTTTGACTTTGATTGGGGTTTGCTCTGCTACTCTTTCTCCTACTGGTATAAACTATGAAGGTTTGTTTCTTTCTCAAAGTTGTTCTTTTTGTCATTTAACTTAAAAATTGGAATTTTGAGGCTTCATTACTTTTTTTTTTCCTCTTTGACTTTGTGTTCTTCATTTGTTGATTCCAATTTCATGGAGTCTTTTTGTTTCTTTAGAGTTCATGCTTCAATGGACTTGAATGAATTTCTAAACTACCTGGTGACACATTTTCTGTTCAATAGTTTTGCCATAATAATGATTGATAAGGAAAGAGGTTTAACTTACCTATTTCACCTTTTACTTATGATGTATTTCTTGAGCAGTGGTTGCTTTAATGTCCATTAAGTTGAATCTACACGATCCCTATAATGTTCTCGAAAATTGGGATTCGAATTCGGTTGATCCGTGTAGTTGGAGGATGGTTACCTGCACTTCAGATGGATATGTTTCTGCCTTGTAAGTTTTCACAGTAACTTGAAAATAAACTGAGAATTTTGGTGCTTGTTAGTAATGTAAATTCCTTTCTTTTATCCTTAAACAGGGGACTTCCTAGTCAGAGCTTATCCGGGACCTTATCGACATCCATCTGGAACCTTAGCAACTTGCAATCAGTGTAAGTTATTGCCTCTTTGGTTATCCATGTAATGTTGTTGAATTTTCCTCATTTTGCAACCCGATATTCATGTAAAGTTCATTGCAGTTGTTATAAATGTATTTGTTTTGCTTGTAGGTTGCTTCAAAATAATGCTATTTCAGGTCCCATTCCGTCTACCATCGGAAAGTTAGAGAAGCTCGTAACTCTTGATCTCTCGAACAATACTTTCAGTGGTGAAATACCTGCTTCCTTGGGAGACTTGAAAAACTTGAACTATTTGTAAGTTTTAGAACTTATACTTCATTTGCATCTTGAAGCTCCGATCGGTGTTTCTTTCTAGTGTTACGATTTCTTATATTTATGCTTGTTGGATTTACTCAGGCGGTTAAACAACAATAGCCTAACTGGAACCTGTCCGGATTCTTTGTCTAAAATCGGAGGCCTCACTCTTGTGTATGTACCGCAACTTGTGTACTTTGTATTTTGATTTCTTGGGATGGCTATTTGAAAAACCTTAAAACCTATATGATATCTTGTTATTGTTCCGTATGTATTTTGCTCATCGATTCTATATGAAACCTGTAACAGGGACCTATCTTACAATAATCTGAGTGGTTCTCTGCCAAAAATCTCAGCAAGGACTTTTAAGTGAGCTATTATTTCCCTTGTTCCTTAATGCTTATAATGCACGATATTATGGTTTATTATTTCCGGTTCCGGTTTTTTACTTTCAGAGTTGTTGGCAACCCGTTAATTTGTGGACCTAAAGCAAGCAACAACTGTTCTGCTTTCTTCCCGGAGCCTCTTTCTCTCCCACCGGATGGTCTAAAAGGTTACATAACTGCGTTGTAGATACTGTTAATATTCCGGCATTTACTTTTCCGTGTCAGTTGATTACATGTTTTGAATTTGTGGATTTTTTTTCTTAGCTCAATCATACTCCGGATTGAAGGGCCATCATGTAGCTGTTGCTTTTGGCGCTAGCTTCGGTTCAGCTTTTTTCATCGTACTGTTTATGGCGTTATTTGTTTGGTGGCGATATAGACAAAACCAGCAGATTTTCTTTGATGTTAATGGTTGACTCCTAAACTTTCCTAATCTTCTTATTCGTTCTAAATTTCCCTTGTCTGTGATGCTTTACTGTCGTATAAATATCGGAAACTTTGGTACCTACAATATTATTATCGACATTCATCATCATCAAGGGACCCCAATCCATAAAAAAAGTTTTAAAGTAGGGAAAACTTTGTTTAAATGTTCCTGCTGTATACTGTCCTTGCTTTCACATTTTCTTCGAAACCTGTCCAAAGTCCATGAATATGCAGTCATGATCTTTGTATTGTTCACAACGAAACATGTTTTCAGATAAGATTATGGCTTTCGATGTTCGTTAAGCCGTACAAATCCTTATAATTACTCTTATTTTAAGGTTTTGATGTACAGTGTGTCCTACTAGCTTCATTTTCAGATATATCTATAGTTGAAGGCTCATTATTTAAATTTCATAAATGTACATGGGGAAATGAAACAAAGATGATTTTACAAAGTTATATTGTTACGACTCTTTGTTTTTCCTTGAAGTAACCAATCGTGTGCGGCACTTGTGTCTGTCACATTTTCGGACATGGATATGGGATATGACCCTTTCAGAAAAATCATATCCGTGTCAGATACATGCCCTTATCTAACACGGACACCCAAGTCCGAGTAATATAGTTAAGAAGGGGTAGATATGAACTTAAGAACAAATTTGCGCTTTTTTGTTGCATCTTGATCCATGTTTAACGCGTAATGTTTTCATTCGATTTCTTTCTCTGCCATTCTCTAATTATGGACCCTTTCATGTTCAATGAAAGAACAATATGTGCTGGAAGTATGCTTGGGCCATTTGAAAAGGTATACATTTAAGGAGCTTAGGGCTGCTACTGATCATTTCAACTCAAAAAATATTCTCGGGAGAGGTGGATTTGGGATAGTGTACAAGGGATTATTGAATGATGGGACTTTGGTGGCTGTTAAAAGGCTGAAGGACTACAATATAGCCGGTGGCGAAATCCAATTTCAGACAGAAGTAGAGACGATAAGTTTAGCCGTCCATCGCAATCTTCTCAGGCTATCCGGATTCTGCACGACTGAGAATGAAAGGCTCCTGGTTTACCCCTATATGCCAAATGGAAGTGTAGCATGTAGACTGAGAGGTTAGTATTACGAAAGTCGACTAATGTTTATGATTCCTGTTTTTGTTAGGATCTTCGTATATCGTACTATATTGAAAGCTAAGGCTAGCAGCATCAATTCATGGCATTACTGTCACCTGCGGAACTGCTGTGTTTGAGTCGCTGTAATAGCCACGGGTGCCGTATAGAGTCCTATGGCGCTTCTTGAGAATTGATATGTCCATCTTTGAGCAGCATATAGATTACATCCACATGCATGTCTGAATATGTTTCGGACATTACTCGAGGAAAATGAAGAGTCAAAGTAACATAGATCGCTATTTTAGTTGATATTTAGACAATCAAAATATCTCCATAATTAGTTTCCGTAACTAAATACCATGATCATCCTATGGATAAACGTTAATATCCGGTGTTGCGAATCATCTTTCCGGTACTTGTCAACAGTTTGAACCATATAAGTTTTTCTTTCAGCATTTATTGTTTTCGCAAGAGTTAATTTGGAAATTAAATGAAGATCCGATTTACTATTTGAGGGGATAAATCTTGCTAGAATTTGGCATCTATACAATTATATACTTGTTTTCTCATGTTCGATTTTCCTTTCAGACAATATTCATCGTAGGACGGTTTTAGACTGGACAAGGCGGAAGAGGATAGCCTTAGGTTCGGCTCGGGGGCTTGTATATTTGCATGAACAGTGTGACCCGAAAATCATTCATCGTGATGTCAAAGCTGCCAATATTTTGTTGGACGAAGATTTTGAGGCCGTTGTTGGAGATTTTGGGTTGGCGAAGCTTTTAGACCACCGGGATTCTCATGTAACCACCGCAGTTCGTGGTACCGTTGGTCACATTGCTCCGGAGTATTTATCAACAGGTCAGTCATCAGAGAAGACGGATGTATTTGGGTTTGGAATCTTGCTCCTTGAGCTAATCACGGGTCAGAAGGCCTTGGATCTCGGACGAGCTGCGAATCAGAAGGGCGTAATGCTCGATTGGGTACTCTCTCTCCCTATGTCCTTGAGGAGTGCTGTTAATAATCGAATACTTGCTATTAAAACATAAATCTACTTTGATTAGCATTTAAGAATCATTGTGTACTTGTATGTGTAGTTTCCCTTCTTTGCTCTTGATACTATATCCCATTCCTCGAAAAGGCGATTGTTAACTCAGTCTTTGAATGAGTTTCAATCTGTGCAACCTTACCGAGCTTTCGGGTGAGGTCGTTAGCTCGGTCTTGGACAACTATATCAACATCAGTTTCCCTTTTTCATGTACCGAACATTTTTCTTCTTTCGATGAAATGTCGCTTAATTTTCCGACCTCTCTTGCAGGTAAAGAAGCTACATCAGGAAGGCAAACTTAGCCTGCTGGTGGATAAAGATCTAAAGGGAAATTTTGACAGGATTGAGTTAGAAGAAATGGTTCAAGTTGCCCTGTTATGCACTCAATTCAATCCGTTACACCGACCGAAGATGTCTGAAGTACTAAGGATGCTAGAAGGTGACGGTTTAGCTGAGAAATGGGAAGCCTTGCAAATGGTAAAGACGCCAAAGTTGCAATCATGCGATAACCCTCCGCAACGATACTCGGATTTCGTAGAAGAATCATCGCTTGTGCTCGAAGCCATGGAGCTTTCTGGTCCTAGGTAACACAATGTTTGCCTTCAAAACTTACTCGATATATCTGAGCTCTGAAATTCGAAAAGTAGGCAAGTGCTGTTGATAGTTGTGGAATATGCCTGTATTCATCTGTAAAAACACGAAAATCATGTAAAGTTTGTCGTTGTGTGAGTTTGATTGTCAAGAAATTTTGATAAAATATGTTGCAAATATATATGTGCTATCTACTTTATACGGATAGTGCTGTAAGCAAGGAACCGATGAATGCTATCATTCAATTTTTTTAATGGAAACTAAAATTTTATTTTCCTAGAAAATGCATATTTTTTAGGATACTACGTCTTTATTTCAATTATCATTTTTGTTATATTTATCATTCAATTTTATTATTATTATTATTTAATATTATATTTAAATTTTATCTTGATATTTTTTTTAAAAAAATATTCAATGTATGGTGATGAGTTATTATCACTATTAATTTTTAATAGTGAGTGGTTAAAATAAAACTAAAGTGTAGGTTAAGGATGATTTTGTAATACAAAATAGTTGAGTGATCAAAATGGAATCCAAGTAAAAATTAGAGGATTAAAATTGTAGTTTACCCTATTATGTAATTGCTTTGGTAATTATCATGTGTGTACCAAGACACAACATAATTAATGTGGATGTGAGTGGAAGTACAAGTTAATTGTTGAAATCCAAGCATCAAAATTGGCCGAAACTTGATGGCTCATTTAATTCCTCACATGTTGATGTTGGGCGGGTGGGTTATGAGTTCCAACTTACTAAATCAAATCTCTTCTTTTGACTTTATCAATCATTTTTTAGAATAATTTATAGAGTTAATTGTATCATATGTCCCTAAGCTGTGTCTCTCATTTTTAATTGGTCCCTAAATTTTTTAAAACTCTAATTTCATCCCTAAATTATGATTCTCATTTTAAATTAGTTCTTAAACTTTTGAATATTCTAATTTTATCCCTAAAAATGACCCTCTTTCTAAATTGGTCCTCGTACTTTTAACCAATTTCATCCCCAATTTCATCCAAATATGGAATTAGTTTCAACCATAATTTAACCTAATTTCTTTTTCAAACATATAATAATATAACTTGGCCTATAAGTTTTATTAGCAATGAATGTGATTAGAATAGACAAATTGTTTGGGATAAAATTGGAATGTTCAAAAAGTTTGAGGACTAATTTAGAATGAATGTCAATAATTTGGGGATGAAATTGAAATGTTTAAAAGTTTGAGCTCTAATTTAGAATGATAATCATAGTTTAAGGATGAAATTAAAACATTTAAAAGTTTATGAACCAATTTAAAATGAGGGTAATATAACTAATATGTAATCACTCCCCTCGAAAACAGTTTTATCAAGAAAACTGAATCAAAAATTGTTTTTTTATCAGATTCGGTATAAAAATAATCTAAAATTTTAAAAATATTTATAACACAGTAGATTTAAAATTATCAGAAATTAATGAATATTTATTACATTAAATATACTTAATAATCAAATAATCTATCGTCAATAAAACTAAGGGAAAAATACACAAATAGTCCGGTGTTGTTTTGTTGAGGCCCCCAACTATTAAAAGTTCAAAAATTATCTTCGAATATAGGACATTATCTTTTTAGTCCACGACTATTAAGAGTTACAAAATGATCACATTCATATGTTCCAAACTCATCATTTCTGTTAAAAGATTAGTGGTTGTTCGGGTCGAATGTTAACATGTTGATTAAGATATGATAAAATCTGATCCCAGAACCGTTTGAGTTGTATTTTATAGATCGACTTTCCGTTTATATTATGTAGTCGAGCTAGTGCTTGAAAGCATTGACAGTGGTATTAGACATCATTAAAATAAGATTTTATTATATACTAGTTAGTAGATTGATATCCAGCTCAAACGATCATTAATTTTTTAACAGAAAATTACGAGTTTAAAATATATGAATAGTTGGATGCCTGACTAAAAGAAACAATACCCTATGGTCTATGAGCCGTTATATAACTTTTAATAGTTAAGAGAAATAACAAAGTAATACTCTATAATAGAGGGACCATTTATGTACTCAACCTAAAATTAGTAAAAAAACTTGACTGAATATTTGTAATTAAAAGAAGACTTAATCTCTTAACACTTCTTGTTTGTTTACTGAAATCATCTTAAATCGAATTCAAAACATTACATCTCAAATTGCTTTTTGAATTTTATGGTATAGAAAGTCGGCTATTTAGGATGTGTTTGGTTCACGAAATATAAGATTACCAATGCGTATAATAGATTACCAGAGAATAAGATTACTAGGAATGTTGTATTTTGTGTTTGGTTGGTTTAGTAAGAATGTAAGATTATCGTGTTTAGTTAAAGGAATAAAATATTATTGGAATGTATATTTTACTAAATTGTCCTTATTATATATTTGTTTTTTTAACAAGTTGAATTATACTATAATATTATTATAATTAATTTAAATATTTTCTTTAAAAATTTTAAATTAATAAAATATATAATTTTTTTGAAAAGATAAATAGGTTTAATGAAAGGGTAAAATTTTATTTTAACCCCTGAACTTCATATAAAATTCTAATTATGAATTTTTTTTGTAAATTTAAAATAATTTAAGGATAAATTTATAATTTAACCTTCGTAGAATATTTATTATTCAATGACAGAAGAAAAATAATTTTGAAAAAAAAAAATTAAGGGCATTTTAGTCCAAAACACCGATAATCTAACAATATCTAAGGGAAAGAGATAATCACATTCTCAATAATATACCTCAAAAATCTACTGTTGATAATAAAATATTAACAGTAATAACGTTACCGGCCAACTAAATGGGACAATGAAGATTTCATTCCCCAAGTAATATCTTATGTCGTGAACCAAATGACCCGAGTATTGGGACATCACATCACGTGGTAAAGCCCAATTTTAATTTGTAGGACAATATTGGAATGATTATTTGCTGCCGGCGCCTTTACCTTATTATCTAAGGACGGGGCAGTGTTCCCCATATGGCCCGTAGAATGGGTGGTGTGCTTAAACCCTGCTCTCGTTTTGTTAAGTAAGTTTGAAATTATTTTTAAAAACTATTTTTAAAAGTGTAATTTAATATTTAATTATTTAAAATTATTATAAAAAGTGAGTTTGTAAAGATAAAATATTTATTATAGACGTTATGTTGTAAATTAAAAATATCATTTAAATTATATTTACTCTTATTATATATGTGCATATGAAGACTGTTAAACTATGTATTTACTTATTTATTTATACATGCTTTGCATTTTATCTTTATTTTTAATTTTCTGACTGATACAGGTCTTCCACGGAAGCTGTTCTCAACCTTGCATTTGGGGCCAGCCTACTACCCTACCTCCCCTTACCCAATTACATATGAGAATAGGGTTTTGTTATTGTTGTTGTTGTTGTTGTTGTTATAATACTATGATATATAAAATATATCAACTTAAACTATAATAAAAATATAAAAAATATTTTGAGATAATTCATTAAAAATATTTTTATATATAAAATATTTTATTTAAAAAAAATATTATCAATACTTTTTAACATGTGGACTTAAAATAAATAATAATTTAAATACTTGTTTTGATAAAAAAATATTACAAAAAAATATTAATTTTTGCAAATTAAAGTGAATTTATTAAACTGAAAGGTATGATGTCTCTCATTAATTCTATTTCATTACGAGATGGAGTGTTTAATTCATCATCACTTTCTTCATCTTGCACACAGGGTCGTGGCTAGGTTGTTGGAGGCCTTGTACAAATTCCTGTAAAAGGGCCCATTGATCTCGAACTTATTTTTCTGAAATAATAAATGACAAATTTCATTAACTTAAAAAACTGATAGATATACTCTATTTCGGGGCCCCTGTGCAAATTTGAACTTGTTTTTCCCAAAAATAAATTTGCTTGTTAACGAGATTTGAACTTAAGATCAACGAAGTCATGGGCCCAATGATCTAACCACTGCTCTATATCTGTTTTTTTGCTTCTTAATGACAACAATTGATAGATATACTCTATTTCGATATCCTTATTTTTTGAGGCACTACGTCGTCGCGCACTACACGCTTGCTCAACCATGCCCCTGCTTGTACATATATAGGGTTATGTTGATAAATCTCATCATTTTTTTTGTACTCTATAAAATCTTCACTATTGAGACTTGCATGTTTACGAATAAAATTGTGTATCACCATTGTGCATATAACAGTCACCATTTGTTTTTCAAAACTGTAACTTGAAATATCCCTTAAAATGGCCCATTTTTTTCAACACACCAAAAGTTCGTTCAATCACACTACACAATGATAATTGTGAGTTGTTGAATATCTCTTTTTTACTAGACATAAGTCCGTCTTTACAAAAATCAGATAAATGATATCTTTGTCCTTTATAAAGTCCGACAAATCCTTTCATTTGAGGATCTCTGAAATCAACAAGATAATATTTTTCTATATATCATTATACAAAAAATAATTAAATAATTTATATTTAATTTAAAAAATAAATAAAAGACATTTACAATTTGATGGGTGTGAAAATTCTAATCGTGGATCCCGAATTGCATCAAGAAATATTCTAATATCATATGGTGATGATTCCCATCCAACAACGTCAGATGTGAAGGATATATTAAAATTACAAATCGCCATGACATTTTGAGTTGGTGCACCTTTTCCTCCTACGTAGAAAATTTATTTGTTTGGCGTTGCAAGTCCAAACTAAAAATTATAAGAAAGTTACACTTAACAGTATGTAATAAAATTTTGGTGTTGCATATCTCAAGGGGGAAAAACTAGAAATTTTAAGCTCTCTTATATTTCATTATTAAGTCTCCAAACTTTAAGCTCAAGAGAAATGGGCAAAAAATTTAAGTCTCCAAACTAGAATATTTTATCTCAATGAATTTTCACTTTTTTTGTACAAGTTTGTAGACTCAAATTGAATTTTAGGACTTTGATTATTGTTATTTCACTATAGCAAAATTGACTTTTTGCGGCGTTTTTCTTTACCTATAGCGGCATTTTTAAACGCTGTAAAAAAACACCTGCAACGCCGCTAAAGTTCGCGGCGTTTGTTAACGAAAAACGCCGTAATAGGTAACGATATATAGCGGCGTTTGTTAATAGGTGTTGATATTTAGC